TACTTCCTAAAGCTTTGTGTACAGGAGGCAGTCCATAGAAAAGTTTATTTTTTATGTAGCATATGTGTTTCCTGCTATGTAATGTGCCCAAAGGACAAAAACTTTAATATTGAACTTTATGCTCTTTTTACTTTCAGATGGGGTAAAAGGAATAAAAAGTCTGTACATCAGATGTAAACCCCAACTGAATGAAAAAAATGAATAATTATTTATTGGGTCTTATTATTTATTCGGTCCCCATATATTTAACAGTTGTACAAATGTAGACAAATTTAAAAAAAAAATAATTGTGCATGGTCATGACTCCTCCTGAATATATCTTTTGTGGTTGAGTCAAATACTAACACAGCATGGTTCCCACATGCTTTTTTTAAGAAGTCACTGACAGCAAATATTAATCTAATATTAGGTTTATAAGATTTGTTGATTTGCATATTAGCTCTCTTGGCTTTAAAAAACAAGGCAAAATTGTTAAAGCTCACGTCGGGACAAAAAAAGAATTTCAGTCCCATCCCATTTCATCCTACCATCACACCTCTTTCCATTCACCTTGAAAAAAAGCCCTTTCACCTATGCAACTCCATCATCATGTCACTCAGTGGCGTCTTTTCTAGTATTGGGGGCCTATTAAACAGTGCTACAGTCCGGGCCCACCACCAGCTGGTCTTGCTACTGTCCCCATTGTGACTTAATCCCACTACTGCTGGAGTCCTCAGGACCTGTGAGGACCCCACCACTGGAGAGCCAATGGGAAGAGTCCACATCAACAGACAGCCAAGCCCTCCTGGCTTTAAAAAAACAAGGAAAAATTGTTAAAAGCTCATGTCAGGGCAAAAAAGAATTCAATCCCATCCCAACCTCCCATTCACCTTGAAAAACAAAAACAAAGCCGTTTTCCTTTATGCAACTTCATCATCATATGTTACTCACTGGCATCTCTTCTGCTTTTGGGAACCTGTTAATCAGCACTGTAGTCCAGGCCCACCACAACTGGTCTTGCTACTGTCTTTCATTGTGACTTATTCCCACCACTGCTGAAGTCTTCAGGACCTGCGAGCACCCCACCAATGGAGAGCCAATGGGAAGAGTCCACATTGCCAGACAGCCAAGCCCTCTTGGCTTTAAAAAAAAAGGCAAAATTGTTAAAGCTCATGTCCGCTCAAAGAAAGAATTTCAACCTCATCCCAACCTCCCAGCACACCCCCTCCCTTTCACCTTTAAAAAAAACAAAGTAAAACCCTTTTTCACTTATGTAGCTTCATCATCATAAGTCACTCACTGGAATCTCTTCTGTTATTGGGAGCTTGTTGATCAGAGCTGCCGTCGGGGCCCACCACCAACCGATCTTACTACCATCCCTCATTGTGACCTAATCTCACTGCTGCAGGAGTCTTAAGAACCTGAGTAGACCCCATCACTGGAGAGCCAATGGGAAAAGTCCACATCACCAGACAGCAAGATAGATGGCTAAAGAAGGACCCTCCCACTAGACAGAGACTAAAAGAGAAGACTTAAGATCCAGTATGTCAAGTGACCACAGATTTGGGTTAATATTTTGGGTATTTAGATCAGGATTTTTTTTTTAATACTGCTTTGGTTATCAGCTCGAGGGGAAGGGTGTATGTGGATGCGGGGAGAATCCCTGTGGTTGGATCACAGATTTGATAAGCTTTATATAGAGATCAAAGCAACAGTTGCCTTAGAATTATGTATTTCAACTGTAATAGATCAAAGAGAGGGCCAAATGAAAAATTCCTATGAATCCAAGGTCTTTATTGTTCAGCTGGTTGCAACAAGCAGGGCAATGGACAGCTCAAAATACACATGTATAAAGAAAAATAAATAAAAAGAACATGTCCATTGAGAGTAAAAATACATATCTGCAAAGCCAAAGTGTAATATAGCTTGACTATTTGAGAATACGGCTACGTTCACAGTGCTCCAGTATGACTTTGATCCTATGTTCATTGTGGTGATGTAGTACTCAAGGGCAGACTGACAACTCATGGGGCCCCCGGGCAATAGGTGATCATGGGGCCACTGTGTCCTTGCCCAAACTCAAAAAAGCCTATGAAAAAGATACCAGGGGCATCTCATGGGGCCCCCTACTGACCCCGGGCCCTTGAGCAGTGCCCGAGTTTTCAAATGGTCAGTCCTCCCTGGTAGTGCTACTTGGATCTAACTTTGATAAGGTTTGTATATTCTATGGGGCCAAAATTGTACTGGAATCACACCAAAGTAGTACAGGAACCTTCTACAAAATCACTCAATTCTGAGTCACATTGATGTGAACAGACACCACTGAAAGTAATGTGAGTTCAAAGCACTGAGCAAACTGTTGGCACTATATAAATCCTGTATAAAAATAATTTCCTTTGTCATGTGATTCTATGTGACTCAAGCCGCATCTGAAATCGCACTAGTGTGAACCAGGCCTAAAAAGGAAGCCATATTTCATGCTAAAAACTACAGATTAAACTGCACATGTATACAAACTACACTATATACAGATAAATGCAGAGCTGCTGCGCTGTTCTGATAGCAAAAAAATATAAATATCAATAAAACCGTGATTGATCCTATAATAAACCAAATGCTAAAAACATACAGCTTTAAAAGTGCACAAACAAAAGAAATGTCATAAAGTCTTGCCCCCTCCACAAATGAAAAGAAAGAACATTTTTCTACTGGTAAGTGAAGTGCTGAAAAGTTTCAACAAAAAGTCTCTTTCATTCCAATGATGTCAAAATGAGCGTATTCCTCCTTGCAAGTGAACCCACTATCCCGGAGCTGCAAGCGTAAAATAATGTGCTCCACTGCCACACCATGATTTATAGATGGACCCTCACCTTCGTGGGTTGACCTATAGATTATAATAGGTCTGACTACACATCTTCCCTTCTACATGGGGGGTTGGTTCAATCTTCTTACGGGTCCTGGTTCTCCTCCTTGTTATAACCATTCATTGGAGGTAGCCTTATCCTTCACTACACCACCGTTATAGCTCTGCGGATCAAAACTCACAGCCACATAACATTCATCATAGTGTAGTACATATTAAAATGCAGATTCCATTTATTAAAATCCCAATCACAAGTAGACAGATATATTTTGCTGTTGTACAAGTATTGCAAGGCTCCTATCCTATTCACAACAGAAAGAGAGTCTCTATCTCACTTCCAACAGTCCGGCTCTGACGTGACCTGGCTCCTCCCCACGCGTATCGTCACGATCAATGACATTTCATAAAAGCTAAAAAGGAAGCCATATTTCATGCTAAAAACTACAGATTAAACTGTACATGTATACAAACCATACACTGTATACATAGGGGATGGTTATTCAAAGAGGCTCCTTGCTTCCTTGGGAGACACAAGATAAGAGATGCTATCAACCTTTTAGAAATCATGAAAACACTTTTAACATTATAGTCTTTTTTTAAATAAATCGCTAAGAAGTTCTTTTTAAATAAGTATTAGGACCTTCTTCAGGAATCTTCCATTATTAAAAAAAACAAAACAAATCAAATATACAGAACTTTGTAAGGTAAAGGAAATGCTTTTCTTTTTCAACCTTAAAGTGTTACTAAACACTGTTTTAGTGTTACTAGGACCCTGCAATCACTATATCTCCCACAATACACAGAACATGGAAATACAATTTTTTAGTAAATATAAACAAAGTACCTTTTCTCATCAGCAGTTAGAGCAGTCTTGCGACTTCTATCAGTGTCCAGCAGAGCACTGGTTACAGCTTGTAGGGGGAGTTTTCATTCTGCTCTAGCAGGATGTAAAACCCCTGAACTCTGTCTGGACAGTGCTAATTGGCCCTGTGCTGATCACATGCACTCTCCCAAGAAAATATAAAACCTCCTTAGTAATACACACCAAACTAAGCATGTGCAGAGTGTCTCCACATGCTATCAGGAGATAAGAGGGGGACACTGGAAGAAGGAGAGGATCAGAGAAGTCAGGATCAAACATCCTTTTTACACAGTGCAGAGGATTAACCCCTTAGGTTCCACAGTGAGTATAACAAACATGCTTTACTGCATATACAGACTGATTTTACTGTTGTGGGTTTAGTAATACTTTAAGTTATGTTTCATTCATTGCATTTGAAGAACGAATCTCAAAATGTTATTTTTATTATAAATCCTAAAAAACCAACAATGATTTATTGATAGCTTGTATAATTTATGATATAGCTCTTACTGAATAGAAATCAATATGAGTAGTGAGATCTATGTGTAGTGATGGTTGTAAATATAAGGATTATCACCATGTGTTCTGCAGACTTGTCATATCTATAGGTACATTTTTGATATTGATCTGTCTTGGACATCTATAGATCTCTAGCTCCAGTTAGTACTCTAGATCCTCTAGAGAATAGTCATATTCCTGGAGCTTTATGTCATAGGTGTTCAGGGTTTTATGTTTGGGCTCAAGATGCATGTAATTTTATTTTATACACCTAGGGGGAGGTTTACTAAAGCTGGTGCACACAGAATCTGGTGTAGCTGTACTTAGTATGTGGCTTCTAACTTCAACTAGTTCAATTAACTTTTGACAATAAAACCTGGAAGCTGATTGGTTACCATTAGGGATGGGCTTGATGTTCGAGTTCAACGTAATTTTGACTCGAACATAGGCTGTTCGTGTGTTCGCTGAACACACAAGTGGTCAGGGCACGTGCGCCAAGTACCCCACAATTGTGAGAGCCATGATTGGCTAAAGCAATGCACCTGATTGGCCAATCACAGCACAATTGGGCAGAATTAGCAGTCAAATCACCGCTAGCTCCACCAAATTAGTTTACATCTGACAGGCAAATGTCAGATTGTGGTGAGTGCTCGGCAGGTGCAGATGGATCAGCGGGCATCGGGTTTTTTTTTTATTTCAGCGAATCAGTGTGATTGACAATGGATTACAATGATGGAACCATTTTTCTGGCATGTACATAAACGGCCGGACAGGAGCAGTGTAGGAACGGATGGCCATTCATAAACGGCCTCCACATTCCCTGCCTGTGCGTGCTCCCTGGGAGCACGCGGCACCACGATATGGTGCCCGCTGTGTCCGGATCCCACTGTACGGGACCTCTAAGTGATCACATGAATAGTAGTAAGCAAGATGTCACTTGCTGACATCATTGCTTACTTCTAGTGAAATCTGTGAATGATCACAGAGGTCACATGGTACCAGGCTAGTCACAACAGCCTTGTACCATGTGACAAGCTGTGACCAATCACAGCTCTCACAGTATTTTTCAATGGCTGCAAGAATGCAGCCATAGAGAAGGAGAAATGATTGCTTTTAGAGCCTTTAGGGGTATAAAAGCAATCAGTGTAAAAAAAAAATCTTCATCACCCCCCACAAGTAGACGCTGTACTGCTAGGGTGACAGTGTGTTAAAAAAACAAATAATATAAGAAATAAAATAAAAATGTAAAAAAAAAATTAGAAATATTATTTTTTGTTATAAACTAATTTGGGTTATTTTTTTTTTTTACCAAAAAGATAGCTGAATACATTTTGGCCAAGATTTATGAAGAAAGGTTATTTATTTGCAAAATTTTATAAGAAAAACACGTTTTTTTCCCCAAAATGTTTGGACTTTTTCATTTATATAGCAAAAAAATAAAAATCCACCAAATAAATACCACCAAAATAAAGTTTTATCTGTCTCAAAAAAAATGCTAAAAAATGCATATGGGTACAGTGTTGCATGACTGCGCAATTGTCATTCAAAGTGTGATAGCGCTGAAAGCTGCAAATCGGCCTGGAGTGGGGCCTAGTATGGGGTCCCTCCTAACCTTCCTTCCAGACCTAAAGGGAAGAAACTGGGAACAACAACAACTCAGCCACAAAGCGGTGGGCCATGTAAAATGACAGAGCGGGGTCAGCGCATGCTGCAGATCACAGTGGGCAGAAGTCGCCAACTGTCTGCAGAGTCAATAGCTAAAGACCTACAAACTGTGTGGCCTTCAGAATAGCACAACAACAGTGCGTAGAGAGCTTCATGGAATGGGTTTTCATGATTGAGCAGCTGTAGCCAAGCCTTACATCACCAAGTGCAATGCAAAGCGATGGATTCAGTGGTGTAAAGCACTCCATTACTGGTCTCTAGAGCCATGGAGAAATGCTCTCTGAAGTGATGAATCATGCTTCTCTGTCTGGCAATCAATGGATGTGTCTGAGTTTGGCAGTTGCCAGGAGAATGGCACTTGCATTTTGCCAATTGTAAAGTTTGGTGGAGGGGGAATTATGGTGTGGGGTCGTTTTTCAGGGGTTGGGCTTGGCCCCTTAGTTCCAGTGAAGGGAACTCTTAAGGCATCAGCATACCAAGACATTTTGGACAATTTCATCCCAACTTTGTGGGAACAGTTTGGAGATGGCCCCTTTCTGTTCCAACATGACTGCGCACCAATACACAAAGCAAGGTCCATAAAGACATGAATTAGTGAGTTTGGGGTGGAGGAACTTGACTGGCCTGAACAGAGTCCTGACCTCAACCTGGTAAAACACCTTTGGGATGAATTAGAATGGAGACAGCGAGCCTACATCAGTGCCTGACTTCACAAATGCACTTCTGGAAGAATGGTCAAACATTCCCATATGCACACACCTAAACCTTGTGGACAGCCTTCCCAGAAAGTTGAAGCTGTTTTAACTGAAAAGTGTGGGCCACCTCATTGAACCCTACGGACTAAGACTGGGATGCCATTAAAGTTCATGTGCGTGTAAAGGCAGGTGTCCCAATACTTTTGGCAATATTGTGTATTTCTGTCATTCCTAAGCCTGGGAAAGTTCCCTCCTTGCCTCACAATCACAGACTTATAGCTCTACTAAATTCAGATTATAAGATTTTTGCAAAGATATTGGCCTTTAGATTATCTCAACTAATTCCCAAATTAATCAAAAAAGGCCAAGTGGGTTTTGTACCATCTAGACATGCAGATGATAACATGAGGCATACCATAGACCTCAGAGATCTTTAAATAGGTTTCCCCATCCAGTCTTCATACTGAGTTTGAATGATCAAAAAGCCTTTGAAACATTGAGCTGGCCCTATATGTTTACTACTCTCTCCCGCTATGGTTTTCAAGGGCCTTTCTTCATTTCATTATATTTTCACCCTACAGCCCAAACTCAGATGCCTTCATTCCTGTCGCCTCTGTTCTCTATGACCAATGGCACCAGACAGGAGTGCCCATAACCTCCCTTGCTTTTTATTTTTTGTCTGGAGCCCCTGACTGAAGCCATATGAGCCCATCTGGATATCCAAGGAGTTCTGATGTGACAGAGGGAATATAAACTGTCTCTTTTAGTAGACGACGGCCTGCTAAAGCTAACTAACCTTCTTACGACTCCCTTCACTGCATGATCTATTAACATTATTTGGGGCTATATCTGGCTATAAAGTTAACAATACAAAATGGAAGCCCTACCACTTCATATTCCCCCTACCCTTCTTACCCATCTCTAATACACATATCCATATTGGTGATGTTCTCAGTCTCTCAAATATCAAGATATAAAATTTAACCCCTTCCTATTCCACATTGTATACAGCTAATCTCAACCAATGGGATCTTTTTCTATTTTCTTGGTAGGGTAAACATCTTAAAAATGTCAGTGTTACCTAGGTTACTCTATTTTTTTTTTATACCTTACCTGTCGCTATACCCATGACTCAACTGAAATATCTCCAACGGGGATTTCTTATTAGGAATAATAAATCTCATCGCATTGCCAGTTCTGTGGTTTTCTTTCTAAAGATGCATGGGGGACTGGGAGCTCTTGACATCATTAAATATTATTATGCTTACCATCTATGAGCCATTGTCCCTTGGTCCAGACAAATAGCGCCTAATCGATGGTCGGAGATTGAAAAGGGGCTCCCACACGGGGTGTGCATCACTGTTCTTTAGTATTCTGAGATGTACTGTATGTGTATTGCTCCAATGTTATTTACTCTGGTAACCTGGCAGAAATGCTTTCAGAAGTACTCTCTCTCTTCACCATGTCCCCCCTTATCTTATATTCTATTTAATCTGGTATTACCAGTCTCTCTTTTGGTCACATGTTACCATGAATGCAGGTTTCCCATATTCACTTCACTTGTCCACCCCACAACTCATAGGTTGAAAACTTTCGAAGATTTGCGAGAAAGTTGTTTTATTTCAAACAATATTTTTTTTTTCTATTTACAAGTTAAACATTTTTTCCACTCTATGTCTGCATCTCTCACTCTAGATAGACCCACTAAATGTGAATATTTTTGTGCACATGGCCCTTATCAATTACAATTAGTCTTCTCTATCTACCGCATTCTTCACAAAGTTACTCCTCTCATGGAAGACACTCATTCTTACATGCGTAAATGGGCAAGTTTACTCCAGCGACCTGTCCCCCACGATTATTGGAAAAGATCTGGACTTCTACTTTTAAGTCATCTCAGTGCGTGGTGCAGAGCGAGACTGCTCCTAAAATATTGATGTTCTGGTACAAGACTCTGGAGGTCATTCATCACCAAGACCCCTCACTTTCTGCTTTATGCAATCACTGTGGTCTTGACATGGGCTCCCATTATCATATTTTCTGGCAATGTTCCAAAATAAGATCTTTCTAGACTGATGTGATGCTGTTACTTCAAAAAGTGTAATGTCTGTCTCTCCCTCAGGACTCTCTCCATTATTTATTGGGTTTTCCCTTCTCCAATGTTGCAAAACCTGTAAACGATTGATCTCCTACATTCTTTTGGCTTAAGAGAGCCATCCCCTTGTGCTGGCTATCAACAGATCCACCATTTCACTCCCAATTTTTACACCTTACAAAATCTGGAGAATGGAATAAATGACCACTGTTATTTATGCTATTCCACAATTTAAAAGAACTTGGGAAATCTGGGACCAGTCTGAATATGGTAACTCATTACCTTGACATCTGTCACATTTAACCATCTTAGCTCCTGCTGAAATATTCCATTGTTACCCTGGTGTGCATACTTTCTATATGAGCCCCTGCACTTTATATATGTTAAGATTCTTTATCAATTGCTATCTCTACAAGTTAACATTGTTCTTGTCTTCTGTCATAGACTTGGAACCCTATGGCTTTGTACTGCCTATGGAAATTTTACTCCATCATTGTGTTGTCTGTCATGATAAATATTGACTTTTCTTCTTTCTTGTACTGTCAATTTTTTTTTTACTGAAACTAAATAAAATACTAATATTGAAATAAAAACCATGAAATTAATCTTATACAAATTCTGCTTAGGATTCTTCTTAGGTGTCCTGTCCACCTTGTGCACCTCATAATGTCTAACTGACTTTTTCTTATACATCTGTGCGATGGTTTAATGAAGGTTAAACACCCTATTGTGACCAGGATATATTAGAGCCTGTAGAGGGCTTTGTTAGAGGTTTTATGAACTGGAAATTTTGTGGCAGATCATTATTAGTCTTTATGCTTTTCCAGACCCCGGCTAAGTGCTGTTTATCAAACTTGATCTACGCCAACTAGTTGTTTTAATGGTCTGGGTTATATGAAATTTGCCAGTTCTCTGACTGGCCCTACAGACACAAGGTTTAAATCTGATCGCTTTGTTGCTGACTTGCTAATTATGGAAAAATAATGGGTTTGGAGAAATTTGGGTTTCATGAGACCTCATTATCATCACAACCATATCCTCCACTTTTATCCATAACAGAGGGAAAGTGATTCTGTAGTCCTCAGAGATGAAAAACAATGTAACTGAATAGAATTCAGTACCAGCATGGAGCACAAAAAGTTGTCAGCTGACAGGACCACAGAAAATTTGCACGTAATTTGAGATATAATCAAAATTTTTTCAATTGCATATTTTATAGATCAAAGGGTAGCAAAAAGGGTTTACATATCCTTTAATCGGGTCAACTGTTGGAGCAAACTGGTGATTTTTAACAAATTTTGAATCACCTTAACTGGCCTGATCTGCTGAAAATCTAATTTGGATGAAACGGTCCCCTCATTGCTATGATGGACCTTTTAGGCCCAGGCGACTTTTATCAGAAAGCTAAAGAGACATTGAGTAGTAAATCATTTATTTTGTACAAAGCAGGTAGTATTGGGAGATATAAGAGAGATTTCCTTAACAGAATAGATTTACAGTACAAGAGGACTTCTTTTTTTACTGAAGTGGTTTGTTTTAGAACAACATATGTTTGATGTCTGGGACATGCTGCATTTTGGACCTGCATAAGATTAGGTTGCAAAGAAAAGAGGTTACTTGAAGTGCAGCTTTGGTAATGGCTTGGAAGGTAA